AGAAGATCACAGGCACTTTCAGGATTTGTCCCGCCTTCGATGGAGCAATGGCTCCGTGGTTTTGGGTTGAGTTTCGAAGGGTGCCAGAGAAGCTTTGAATGTAATGACCTGGACTTGCATCTGATTAATTAGTCATCTAATTGCATTGTTATGTACTAATTGATTATGTGTTTGATGAGAAATTGCATGTGAATTAGAAAAGTTTGCCTAAATATCTGTTAAATGTAGAAAAATCTGTTGAAATTACAATTTTAAACAAGAAATTGAAGGTCTTAGAGGCACCAGAAACCAAAACCGATTAAAGATTTGTGATCAACATGATTTTTAGAGCCCAGTATGAAATTTTGTAAAAATCTAATTTAAAATGAATTAATTGGACTTAATTAATATTATATATATATATACACGGGCCTTAGTTGAGAGACTTAACAAATATCTTCATTTTGAAGACATAAAAACATATAGAGAGAGAGAGAAAGAGAGAGAGAGAGAGAGAGAGAGAACTCAAGAAAGAAGAAGAAGAAGACCTTCAAGATTTTGGTTAGAATAGATCAAGATTGTGCAAGAATCTAACTAATTCAAGACTCTAGGTGAGCATCTAACTCTTGACTCTTGGAAATTATGTAATTTAGAGTGGAATTCATGGAGTAGATGAAATCATTTACATAGAAGTCTAGAGTTTTATCATCTTGAGTTAGTTTTGAGCATCCATGGTTGGAATTGTAAGTTATTTGGTTCATGTTTGTGCAATTCATCATGTTTTAGAGTTGTGAGCTCTTATGAACATTAAAGAGAGGAATGGTGAGAATGCGCTCTAGATAGCCACATACATGGCATGATTTCATGAAATTCTTGTTCATATCTTCAACTTACTGCTTAATTCTTCAACTTTGGGGGAAAGCCCCATGGATTTTGAGTTTGAACTCATATATGTATATTTTGAGGGTTTGCACTCTAAGATCAAGATTTGAGTTTTGTTTTGAAGTTATGGTTTGAATTTGAAATTAAACATGGTTAACTCAACATGTTTTTAAGAGTGTTTGGCCTTGTTTTGCTTGAAATTGAAGTTGATTTTGCAAAAGAATGAGTTTCCTTTCAAACCAGATTTTCTGATTGAAAATGTACCCAAATCGCTCGAGCGGCCTGGTCCACCGCTCGAGCAGCCAACCTTCATTTGCTCAAAGTTGCATTCTACTTAACCACTCCTCGTATGACTAAGGCCACCGCACGAACGGCCAGGCTACTGCACGTGCAGTCAACAGGACAGTTTTTTCAATTTTGTTTTCTTTCTGTTTTTCTGACTTTCGGGCCTTTATTTGCATGGTTTTCACGTGTAATAAACATCCATATGCATAGCATAAGCATGAAATAAATTAACGAAAGAATAAGAAAGCTATAACGACTATGTAACGAATGAACCGTCTGAACGAAGTGAATGAATGTGTTTTGTTGTGCTTGGTTATATTTCTGTAAGTTGAGCCATTAAGGTGGACTATCTGACCATGCACTATGAGTAACATTTCTATAAAGATATATTGATAAGCACTATACTTGAAATGTTATGCGAAAGACTATATGATATGATATGTTTTTGAAATATGATTTTAATTTTGTGAATGAATATCTGATTTGCAAATCTAGTATGTCATCCAAGGATAGTCCCAAGTCATAGGGGATGGCACGTTAATGTGGGTCCATCACATACATGTGATTACGAGATCTCGTTAGCTACTTCATTGTGGTGATATGTGTGTAATTAATGTTTGGGGACCGATTACTTTAGTCGGAAGATGTTACGAAATGTTCATTTGGATGTACCATTATTATGTTCTGATGTGAGACTGATATGATAGATTTGTTATGATATGTTTTATGTATATGACATGTATGGAATTCATTCACTAACCCCTTTACTTAAATGTTATTCATTGGATTTTAGCTCACTGTGTATATATATATATATATATGTATAGGTGAGCTACAGGAAGGTCAAGCCTACGTGAACACCGTCAGTCAAGCCACCGCCTGAAGTCTATGAAGTTTTGGTGCCTCTGAGTTGAGGCTAGGTCTAGAGGACCGTTGACGAGTTTTGTGCTTTTGTTGTGGAAGTTTTGATAACATGTATATATGATGATGGAAGATTTTGTACATGATATATGTATGTATTGTTCGGTGGGTAAATTAATGTTATATGCATATGAGTTTGTTCATATAGATTCACAGCTCAATAGACTATTTGTTGTATATATGTTATAAACTTCCGCTAGCCCTTATTATTTTGATTTATACAGGAAGGCCTTTGGTAATTTTGGATTATTGGCCGGTTACAACGCTAAACCTATAGGGGCGGGCTTTGGTCATGACATTGAAGGATTCCGAAAGAGCTTCGAAGAGATTTTTTATAATGAACATAGTAGTGTTTCCATGTCATTGAAGTATTAGCTATGATTTTTGGACACCATACACAATAAGTGCACGCATTCATTGATTACAAATTGGAGTCTCATGTTGAAATTTTGAACTTGCCACCTAAGAAAGTACAAAGCTTCTACTCATAACTCATACCAAATGTGATTGGTATGTATTGTGTCCAAATCGAATTGGTCCTTCTTGATTTGAATTGATCACTTTGAAGCACTCGTATTGAATTCAAAGCATATGCCTTTAGTGTAGTGTCTCTTCAAAGCATTTCGTTGGTGTTGTTTTGATATTCAAAACACTTTATTACTCATATCAATTCTGTGCTTGGTGCAGCTCTTCAAAAATTCAAATAAACATTATTTTTAAAGAGCTGTAGGAGTAATGTTGACACCATAAATAGTAATATTATTATTATTATTATTATTATTATTGCAGGATACGTGACACTTTCTTGATCAATCAGGAGTTAAGAGAAGTTACAAAGTTCGTGGCCTTGCATGGTGGAACATGGAAGACAAAGTGGAAGAAGTTAAAGCACATATGAAGAATATGATGGAGAAAGTGATTTATTGGAAGACATGGAAGGATATATGGTATTGTGGGAATGAAAATGGAAGAGTGGGTAGTTTTAGGTGATTATTGGGTAGTTATTGCTGAAAGTTTTTTTTTCTCTATAAATAGTCATTGATGGCTACATTTACAGGCTAAATTTAGAAATCATTTTATTTATTTTACATTTTTTCCTTTCAGTTCTTTACTTCCCCGCACTGCAATTTCAGTTTCATAGGAGTAGTTCTAAGTTAGAATGTTCGTTGCTTTAATTCACTTCGAAACTGTGGAAGAGTGAAGGTACTACTGTAAATATTTGTTTACTTAATGAAATTCAATATCTGATACTGTTTTCCCTCTCATTCTTTTACTTTTGATTAATACTTTTGATTTTTTTTTTTAAACAAGTCACCAGTAAAAGTTCTCTTCATTGAGACTAAGAGAATTTCAAAGCAATTATCTGATTGATTGGTTAATATTTACTGTTTTTGTAAAGATTTATTAATCTTTACTAGCATGTTTTAATTATATTTTTAACTTTCGAAAGTAAAAAAAATCAATAGATCTTAGTTAGAGCATCTCCAACAGTAGTAGGCATTTTACCTATCTAAATATTACTATAAAGTATATATTTTATTTTGCCTATCAACTGTTTTATGTTTTTACTCCAACCATGCTCTTTATTTTAGCTATTAATCCAAATACTATTAATTTTATAGAATGCCACGTCAACAACAAAGATGGAGGGAAATGATCCTAATGATTGAATACATTTTGCCTAGCGTTGAAGGCTAGCTACATGTAGCTAGTGAATATGAGTTGAGCCAAAATGCCTAATCATATGCCTAGTGCGTTGGAATTGAAAAAAGTGAATCACACTAGGCATTTTAACTAACAAGTACTATATGCCTAGTGCATTGGAGATGCTCGTGACAATTGATATGCAACCATTTACATTGTTAAAACTAATTTAAAAATAATATTTAAAGAATTTTAAACTTTAAAAAAAAAAAAAAAAACTATATAAAAAGCAAAATAAAAAAAGAGCAATGGTAGAGGGCCCAAATTCTGTGGCTCAAATGGCCAAAACGACGTCGTTTTGAGTACAAAACAACATCAAAATGGCCAAAACGACGACATTTTAGCCATTTAAACTACATTTGAACCACAGAATTAGGGCCCCAAACATTTTTCATAAAACAAATCTTTGATGCTATAAGAAACAAAACAAGATGGCCCCAAGTAAACCCTATCATGCTCAAAGCCGCCAGCACACCACCGTGACAACATATATAAAAAAAGGGACCCCACCCCACTCCAAGCAGCTTCACCTTGCCTTCCTCTCATTCCGTACCATAGCGTACGCGTACCCCTCCTTACACGCACCCACTCCTTCAAACACGTGTATAAAGTAGAGGCATAATTTGGGCGGGTTTAACTTTAGCAACTTGAAGTCAGTCTAAATTTTTTTAGGATTTAAATAAGATATTTTTAAATTCGGTATAGACTTGGATAAAAATTTAAAAATCTAAATTAAATTTGAACGGACTTAAACAAAGACGTCAAACAATCCGAACAACCCGAAACGTAAATTATACATGTATAGATATATAAAATTATTAAATATATTATATATATATAAATTATTAGATATTATATGATATTAAAGTAATTTAAATTATTTAATCATATTGAATATATATTATATATACAAATAATATAAAATCTTACTTTTTTTTTTTAGTTTCACTCATAAATTATAAAGATTACTATAGTGACATCTCTCTTATATTATATAAATTATTTATTTTAATGATATTAAAATTTAATAATTTAATAACTAAAAAAAAACACTAAAATTCATTTAGAATTCGAGTAATTCAAACAATTCAAATTTAACTTAAATTGAACTTGGACAAAACTTGGACAAGCAATCTCAAATTAAAAATTCAGACGTAGACAAATTTCAACCCAACTTAAACCGGATTTAAAGAACCTCCTAATCGGACCAAACCCACCATACTTGCACGCTAGTATAAAGTATCACCTCCATTCCGCAATCGAAATTCAAACACCCCCATCCATTCTCTCTCTATCTTGCTGTTTCAGTTTTCATTTTCCTCTTCCCTTCCCCCCACATGAGGGAAGAACGGAGATCTGTTACTTACTCCTCCTCCTACTACTACTACTGCATACTACTACAACCCTTTGAGCGATGGAGAGTCCCTATTATGCACCGCCTCACCTGGACGCTGCTGCATCATTGTCCTCTTCTTCTTCTTCTCGGCCCTCCATAGGATTCCCTCTCGGAACAGCTCTCCTATTGATCATCATCTTCAGCTTGAGCGGCGTCTTCTCCTGTTGCTATCACTGGGACAAGCTCCGATCTCTCCGTCAATCTTCCCACGCTCATCCAGATCCAGATGTCGAAGCTCATCATCATCCCGATGTCTCTCCCTCCAACCCTAATTCTACTCACATCGTAATCTTCATCTTCATCATCATCATCATCTTCTTCTTCTTCTTCTTCTTCCTCTTCTTCTTCTTCTTTGTTAATTTATTATTGGATCGATGAGATCATGACAATTATGCTCTGCTCTGGATCACTAATATGGTAGTTTTGTTTTGTGTTTTTGTGAAACAGAGTTTGAAGCAGAACCAAAGCGAAAGCTTGCCGGTATTAATGCCTGGTGATAAGATACCCAAGTTCATAGCGCTGCCATGTCCATGCGAGCCTCCCAGACTGGCCAAAATCATTGTGCACGTCCAGAAGCCGCCTAAGCCGCCGCGCATAGCTGTGCCTTTGTATTAATTACCAAATTAGCCTATTTTGGAAATTAGGAAAAAAATTATTTTTTTTTAGTGTTTTTTTTATTAAAAAAAAAACTTATAAAAAAAAATAGAGGAATGATGTGATTTATATAATTTAATAATTCAGTAAATTGATTTTTTTCCCTAGTTGTTAAAATAGACCATGTTATATGATTTTTAGAAGTAATTCCACATCCTGTTATTTGTAAGAATAATGTTATATGTATCAATTAATATACACATTAGTATATTAACAGATGATATGATATCATTTGTATGATTTTGGGTATTTGTAATTTGTATAATAAATATGATCAATAATAATATCATAACATTAGTTGATATATTAATGTGTATACTAATTGATACATGTAGTACTATCACACTTGCAAAAATAGATTAAATTTGTTGCCATTAATACAAGCATTAATGTTGTTACCTAAATTTTTTGATATGTGTATGATGTTTCTTTTGTGTGTATGTGTGGAGATTGAAAGTTAAGTGATTAAAAAAATGGAGTCCATGTCGAAATTTTTTTGTTAATTTCATGAAGGCAGTGTTAGTCAAAACCAAAATTAGGCCACAGTTAGGCCTCGTTTGGAACAGGTTAATTTAGTAATTTTTTAACTATTTGGCTAAAATATGAGCTAAAAAAAACTAGTATGTTTGGGATGATTTTTTGACTTTTTACGGAAAGATGTGCAAAAAGTAGAGAGAAAAGAGAATCTTTGACTTTTTTGTATGGGTTGTTGGCTTTTTGATTTTTTTAATAATTTTGAGTCGTGCTAGGGAGCTTGAATTTGGAGCCCCCGAATCCCCCGAATCAACCAAAAATCAAAAGAAGAAGAAGAAGAAGGAAGAAGAAGAAAAAGGACTGGAGGGGGCAATATCAACCGGGCGGAGGCAGAGGCTGAGGCGGGGCGGAGACGATCGGCCAACGAGCTGCGATCGGCCGACGAGCTGCCACGAGCGACGAGTTGCAATCGACATCTACCGTCGCTCACACCGCCATCGCCACACCCACCGTCGCACCCGCCGTCTCTCTCTCTCTTTGTTTCCCTTCTCTCCTCTCCTCCTCTCTCTTTCTCCCTCTCTCCTCTCATCTGTTTCTCCCTCTCTCTCCCTCTGTTTCAGAAAAAATAAATAAATAAATAAACTACCCAAAACGACGTTGTTTTGGACAGTCGGGAGATTCGAAGGGGGAACTTTCGAGCTACAAAATATTTTTCAATAACTTTTTAACTTTTTAGCTAAACCGGCCTGTTGCCAAACGAGAACTTGTGTCAGACAAAAACCTGCACCTTCCGTTGACATCATCTGCAACAATTTGGAAGTCTTAATCCATGGAGCTTTGTTGAAATTTATCTTAGTATTTTTTTTTTTGGGGCATGATTTATTTTTTAGATTTATGGAGAAATTTTGAAGGTAAATATAAGAGAAGGAAAAAGTACAAAATTAATTAACTAATTTTTGCTTCATCCACGTTTCTTTTTCATTTTCATAATTATTTTTTTTAAAATTTAAGATTCAAACATTATACATGATGTGTATTTGGAAAAATCCGATGATGCCTAATAGTTTACAAAGGTTTTGAAAAGTTATCACCAATAGTTCACAATCTAACCAATTGAGAATTGTTTTTAGTTGCCAAATTTTAGTAGATAAAAGGAAGCTCGACAAAACACAACTTCAAGTTGGTTTGGAAGCTCTTACATAGTTAAAAATCATTAAAAAAAATTAAAAAATCAAAAAAATATACAAAAAAAATTAAGAATTTAAATTTTTTTTTTACGTTTTTTCGTAAGAAATTATTTCAAACATACAAATTCCCCCTCCCCCCGCGCATATTTTAACTAAAAAAATAAAAATAAAACTACTAAAATAGTATATTCCTAAAACAACCCTTAGTTGTATTTTTAATTTATTTGTTTGGTATGTTTCTCTTAATTTGAGAGTTTGTGTGTATTAGTTATCTAATCTTTGTTATAATTATGGTTTCGTTTGGTTAAGGGTAAATAAGGGTTATTTTAGGAAGATGATTAAAAGTCATCTTTCAATTTTTAGCTCATTTTAGGTCACATCATCTCGCATATTTTGTATAAATTTTTTTAAAAAAAGTTAAAAAATTGATTTTTAACCATCTTCCCAAAATAATCTTAAGTTAGTTCTGATTAAAAAAATATAAAAGATAAAATAGACTAAATAAGTTAATAAAATAATATGTCATATTTAAATCATAATTATTTTATTTTATTTTTCATGAAAATTAAAAAATTAAAAAAAATCAATCCAAACAAATATTTGCATCTCAAATTAAAAAAGTTCTAACTTAAAATAGCTAATTAATTTTTTTTTTTTTTACCAAACGATAACGTTATTAGATTTTATATGACAGATAAGGACAATAGTGAGAGAGATGAACATCGCAAAATCAAAATAATGACCACTTTCATGTGGTTGGTTATCGAAATAAAAACAAAAATCATTAATTTATCCACTAAAATGATAGCACAGTGACGTCAGCAGTTTATGAAATGGGCATTTATCTATTCGAAAATGACTGGTAGCTCGAAAAAAGTGGCTCAATTTTGGCTCGAATTCGAATTTGAAGACAGAGACAGAGGAGAAAGAGGGAGAGAAGACAGGAAGAAGAGAGGAGAAGAGAAAGAGGAGGAGAGAGGGAGAAGGAGAGAGGAGGAGGGGAGATCGTCGCAGCACCACCGCCGTCGCCTCCGCCTCCGCCTCCTCCTCCCCTGTGATTATGCCCCTCCAGTCTTCCTCCTTCCTTCTCTTCTCCTTCTCTTCTTCTCCACCCTTCCTCTTCTTCTTCCTTTTGCAACAAAAACACAGGAAAAATAAATAAATAAAAAGACACCAAAACGACGTCGCTTTGGTGTCGAGCCAAACTCTTTCGAGCTACGTAGCGGGGTCGTTCATCTATCCATATATTATTAAATGAAAGCCTAAGTTGGTTTAGTAATCAAATCTCTCTTCATGTCACGTTATAATTTTATATATATTAAAATAAAAAAATTATTATACGTAATATAAATAAATTTTGAACTCAAAATCATAAATTTATTAAAAATATACTTATCACTTGAATAATATATATATTATAATATTAAAATTTTTATTATTAATTATTTAAAGTATACACGCACGGCTAATTTTTGAGAATGTCCTATCATCTCCATTACATATGCAAGTCAAGTAAGAAAATTCCACTATGTCAATAATGGCTGGTAAGTCCAAAAAATTGGTTCTTCTAGTTTTTTTTGTTTTTTTTTTTTTTTGGTTTTGGGTGGACTGGAATATACTCTTGAGTTTGTGGGGCTTACAATGGGTATCGTTTCAATAATCTGAATCGTTCAATAGGTAGAACTTGTCAAGTATTTCGTGTCTACAAAAAAATCACATTAATCAGATATAGGTATCCCTTTGATCGAAATATATTTTTGTCAACAATTTACTTTTAAAATCATATTTACCATAGACAAAAATACATTTCGATAAAAGGACTATCGATATCTGATCAATGTGATTTTATTACATATATAAAGTACTTAACAAACTCTATATATTGAACGATTCAAACTATCGAACGGGATCTGTGATAACTCTTACAGATCTAACAATACATTCCAATCTACCCAATAAACTAGAGAGAAGCTCCCTCTTCTCTTTTTTTTTGGTCTGAACTACAAGATGGCAAAATTTTAGTCTAACAAGTAAGGAAAAAAAGGCCAAAAAAGCAAGTTCACTCACGGAAGCCACTTATCATGGTCTGCCATGTTGCTAGAAAATTGGCAAATCTTGGAATTGATCCTTTTATTTATTTATTTATTTTCCCAAACGGTGAGAGATTATTCTAAAAAGTTAAGAGAATAACATTAAGTTGGACAATTAATTATTAGTATATAATAAAGAGTTTCATACTGATTAAAAAAAAAAAAATAGGAAAAAGCTTCCTAGTAGGCAAAAAAAAAAAAAAAAAAATCAATTATATTTTTGGCAAAAATTAAACTTTTAATATCTCAATTGAAATTGATTCTTTACATTATTCATAAGTGCCCAAACGTCAGTAATGGATTTTAGTGACTGGACTTTAAATGTTTTGCCTTCTTGTCCTTTTTGCACCTTTTCTTTTTGTTCTTAATTTGATGATAGGGCTAATGAGATTATTAGTAATAGTAGGTGTTTGACATTTGGTAACTTTTTTATTGGCTTTTATTTATAATAATTTTTGTTTTTTAATTTTCCAAAAAATTTTAGATTTTTAAATTATATTCAATGAAACAAACTGAAAATTTTAATTATTTAAAAAAATAATAAATAAAGATACAAAAATAAGTAAAAAATAATAGACCTTTTGGTCTTATTTTGGCTTTTTAATTTTTTTAGAATTTTATTTTTTATATTCTTCTACACAAGATGGACTGGAAAAATAAATTTTTTTGACATAATTTTGAAAAAAAAAAAGAAAGACAAAGGCTCTGTTTGGTTGTGAATTCAAAATGTAATTCCACATGTGTATTTCAGTATGATGTTTGGTTGTGTGTTTGGAATCAACTTTCCAAACTTCTGCAGAGAGCTCTGTATTACAGCCGCATTTTTTGTTCAAATTTTGGCCAGGGGAAGACCACGCGGACGTCCTTAGGGACTACCGCCCGGACGTCCATGGGGACATCCACCTGGATGTCCTCTGCTGTACAGGAAATTTTTTTATTTTTTTTTATTTTTTTTTTTGCAATTGATTTATATAATTGGAAAAAAAAAATTCTGAAATTTTTTTAATTTTTAATGTGCTTTAAAATAATTTTGAGTTGTATATTTAGTTATGAGTTGTAAATTTTTGTATCACATATCAAATATCACATCAACAATTCCCCACTCAAATCAAACATCTTTTCCAAAACTATTTTCAAAACTCTTTACCAAACAAATTTTCTACACTCAAATCATAATTTTACAACACACAAATTCAAAATACAATTCATACTCTCAAATCACATTTACAAAACACAACCAAACGCAACCAAAGAGATTCAAACAAACAAAAAAAAATTGGAAGTTTCTATACAGCCACTAATCAAGTTTACAAAGATTAGTTTACTTAATTTTCAACAATAAAATAAAGTATGACATTAATATGCTCCAAAATTTTTATTAAATAAGTATGAGACTCGCACCATATACAGCGGTATTTTGGGAGCAAAATAAAAGCTAGCTTTTAACTTTTTACTCATTTTTTATCACATCACTTTTCATATTT